GCCTCAGCCTTCCAAGTAGCTGGAACTACAGACGTGCGCTACCACGTCCGGCTGATTTTTGATTTATTGTAGCGATGAGGTCTCGCCAAGTTGCCCAGGCGGTCACAAACCCGCGGGCTCAGGCAATTCACTCACCTCAGCCTCCCAAAGGCGCGGGATTACAGGCTGAGCCACCGAGCCTGGCTTCCAGTCACTTTTAAAACATGTTTTAGCTCACAACTAACATCCATAAGTTATTAAATAAAAGTTAAGTTATTAAATAAAAGTCATTCAAATGAAGTCAGTTTACTCTTTGAAGAATCAAATGAAGAATACGTTGTTATTTGTTTTTGTTTTTTATTTTTACTAACAGCTCTTAAGAAAGCATGTCCCTAGCCAGGCTTGGTGGCTCAGCCTGTAATTCCGCGCCTTTGGGAGGCTGAGGTGAGGGGACTGCCTGATCCCGCGGGTTCAGGCGAGACCTCATCTCTCCAATAAATCAAAAAATTAGCCGGGCGTGGTAACGCACGCCTGTAGTTCCAGCTATGGAAGGCTGAGGCGGAAGGATCACCGGAGCCCAGCAGGTGAGGCTGCGGTGGCTGGGAGCGGCCACTGCACTCCAGTCTGGGTGACAGAGTGAGACTCCAACTCAAAAAAAAAAAAAAGAAAGAAAGCATGTCCCTTCTCTTCACTAAGCCATTTCACAGTTATGAGACAAAGGGCAACTACTGTATTGTCACTTTTTTTTTTTTGGAATAAAGCCACAAGATTACTAACAAACAGCTAATGGCCACCATTCAAAAGCAATAATGGCATTATGACTTCATATCTGTTATCAAATTGGAAAGAACCACATATATGTATTTTTCTCTTTCCCCAAAGAAAATCTGAAAGCAAATGTGGGTTACTATCATTCATTTTCTCCACAATCATAAAATTTTCTGGGAGAATGTTAGACAGTATTATCTTTCCTGATAATACAATGGTAAAGAAGGATTTTATACTTGTTCAATAGTTTACCATTTTAAGTTAAATAATTTATAAAACGTTCAGAGTCTAGGTCGGGACAAACCTCAATGACAGAAATCAGGGAAGGTTATTGTTTAAAAATTCCTAAAAAGAGACTACACATCCTTATTTTTGTTCCAATTTGTTGCTTTAGTACTAAATATGCAATGAAATAGACTTAGAAAAAAATATGAACCATCAGTCTTCTAGGTTCAGGTTTCTAGGGTAATCTTAAATGAAGAAATATAAGTTTGTACACATATTTTTAAAAAGCTCCAGGGGCCAGGCGCAGTGGCTCATGCCTATAATCCCAGCACTTTGGAAGGCCGAGGTGATGGGAGGCAGAGGTGAAAAATATTGCCTGAGCCTAGGGGTTCGAGATCAGCCTGGGCAACTTGGTGAGACCTCATCTCTACAATAAAGAAAAATTAGCTGGGCGTGGTGGCACACAACTGTAGTTCCAGTGACTTGGAAGGCTGAAGCAGAAGGATCACCTAAGCCCAGTAGTTTGAGCTATGGTGGCTGTGAGCGTGCCTCTGTACTATAGCCTGGGTTACAGAATGAGACTCTGACTCAAAAAAAAAAGCTCCAAACCATTTTTGCACAGGCTATAAATATAAGTATTGAATAGCCAGTTTTATGATATAGCACAAGTGGTGTGGTTTATCTGCTAAAAACAATAATCACCTATGAAAACATCAGATTACCTCTCCCATACACCAATGAAACAGAGTAATTTTATAGTCTAAAATAACTTTGCTCTGATGTCTAGTTCTCTAAGAATATAGAAGACATATATATTTCTAAAACCTATAGCTGTTTCTGTCTGCTTTCTGACAATTTAGTGCTGACTTTGAGAATACTCTTGAAAAGTTTTGTGTCACAAACACAGTTTTGACATGAACACACAAAGTTTTCTTCTTCTTAAAGGGCTCTTCAGTATCATCTTCTATAAGGTACAACCAACATTTCTAACACTAAGAAATTACTTTGCAGTCAACTTCAGAGGACTACACCTTGAGCAAGGAAGGCAAATAGTAACTGTCAAGAGGTCCGTATTATTTTTTTTAAAAAACATACACACAAGTCCTTTTAAGGACCATATTTCTACATTTCCACTTTCTTCCTCTTTATAAAATTCTAAGAATTTCATTCAGGGGTATTAAACGGGTAACAAATTACAACAATCAGACTAAAGCTCAGAGCAGAAAAATGACAAAACGGCCAGGCACCGTGGCTCATGACTGCAATCTGCACACTTTGGGAGGCTGAGATAGGAGAACTGCTTGGAGATCAGCCTGTGCAACATAGCAAGAAGTTGTCTCTACAAAAATTTCAAAATATTAGCCCCAGCTATTCCGGAGACTGAGGCAGAATGAGCACTTGAGCCCAGGAGTTTAAGGCTGTGGTGAGCTGTGATCGTGCCACTGCACTCCAGCCTGAGTGAGACCCCAACTCCAAAAAAAAAAAGCAAAACCTGAGACACAATGAACATTCATTCAAACATTAAAATTGTGCCTTTCATTTAAAATTGACACACTCTTTGATAACACCTACCCCTGTAAAAATAAATTACACATCCAAAAGGGCAAACTGCTCCAGTCAATTGAGTAAACAACATAATTAACATGTGCCAGGTGGAGAGCGAATCCTCATGTAAATAGTAGGGCTCAAAATAAGCTGCAAACTGTATAGAAGCTTATTTTTAAACTGTCAGCAGGTTTCTTTTGTGCAATTAGAGTTTAATATGGGGTAACTGCTCAAGTTTCTTTTAAGAAAATTGAAATCTGATGCATACAATAGCAGGTTGCACTGTATTATTTAGAACTCCATTCTTTGTTTTTTTTTAAACAAAAAGCAAAAATACACGGAGGTTCTTTAATAAGTTTTGGCATGTACTTGCAACCTCTCTAAACTGGGAAAATTAATTTCTAACCTACCAAGATCATGTTTCAGAACGCAAAATCTTTTGGCTACGTAAAACAAGGCTAATTAAATGCTTTCACATAAATACTTCCAAGTTTAGGTCTTTTAAAAAATTATCTAATTTTTAAATAAAACTCTGTAAGATAAACCAGTCTACTCATATACTTCCTTTCTACAATCACATTACTTTGACTGTATCTGAAATATTACCAGTATCAACAGACAAAAATACTCGAAGCATTCACACAAAGACAGTTAAAGACCACACATCACACCAAGTCTACTAAGTCATATTTAATATTCTACTCGATATCTACGTCAAGCTCTCCAGATCAAACATGATGGCAAATGTTAGAAGTGTGCAATGAAAAAAGAATGAGCACCGTTTCTTTGTGTGTTATCAGGGCAAAAGATGGTAGAAGAGTACAAGGAGAAGCGATATCAGCATTGCGCTGGGCATCAATACTTACCTTGAGGATGTCCCCCCTTTTGAAGCTCAGCTCGTCGTCTGCAGTAGCTTTGAAGTCATATTTGGCGATGGCTTCCATTCTGAGCGCTGCTCAGTGCTCAGCAGACTGAAGCAGGGGGAAGGGAGTCTTCCCTGCTCAAACCCAGCGCTCTGGGCTCAGCCTTGCCTCTCTTCTGGGATTCGCTCCTGCACTGTGGGGCACACAATCGCCACCCTGAATCAGAAGAGGGACGATTAAGAGAAGCGGCCAGGACTGAACGCAGCCCCGCCCTGCCAGTCGGCCTGCGGTCCCAGCCCCCACGCCCCCTGGCTCGCCCGGCTCAGCCCTCCTCCCTCCCTTCTGGGCAACAGCCCTCCCCCTTCTTCCTCTTTTCAGCCTCAGCCCCCGGGCGACTGACAGGCCCACCGGCCAATGGCAGCAGCTGCTTGGGCTACTGCGGCGCACACTTCCTCTTCCTTCCCGCTGGTGGGCGCGGTGTGCAGGAACCGGCTGGAGCCCGCGCAGTCTCCGCCTTTCCCCCCTCACGCTTCGCTCGCTCTTCTCCCGCACGAAGTGCAGTCCACTGAAAGAAGGCCTCACCCTGGGTACGGCACCTGTCTCTTCTCACTTAACAGGCCGGCCTCCATCCCTCCCTGCCAACTGCTCTGGATTCTTGAGAATGCTGGCTCCCTTACTCCATAGTCAAAAGCAAGCAATGCTCCTTTGGTCTCGAGCAGCTTTGCTTTTTTTCCTTTTCTTTTCTGAGCCGGAGTCTCACTTTGTCACTCCAGGCTGGAGTGCAGTGGTCTGCTCCCAGGAGAGCAGGAGAAAGTGAACTTAGGAAATGCTTTTTCAATCCATTTACTACTATGAACACCGGTGGCTTTCCCCTACCACCTCCATACCGGGATCACAAGCTCAGGCACCAGAAAAAGGAGACAGGTCCGAGCTGTTTGCTGCTGGTAATGACGCTCTTGCATAAGGCTCCCTTTCCCCTGAAGACCCCCAAGATTTTGGGGTTCCCACCAAGACCAAGGCACAGCACTCCACAAACAGCTCCATGTGATTTCTAACTAGCCTAATGTACACTTGAAAGGAATCTCTTTTTCAGAATAGGAGCTGTCAAGTATCTTGTCTGAGGAAAGAAAGTGCAGGGGGATGGTACCGAAAGGTCAAACAAGTCTCACAGTTACCCTGAGCACAGTTTATTTTCTCGAGCAAGAACAGTACAAAACTGACACATTGCGTTCTGCAGGTAAAAGATTTATGAAAACCCTTAGATAGGCAACCCTCGGGTCCCCTCCCACTGTGGGAGCTTTTGTTTTCTCAATCAATCCTACTTTTAAAAAAAGAAAAGAAAAAATAAAACCCTTAGATAGTATATTATCAGGTGATGGTGAACTGGGGATAGTACAATCACTGCTATAGTAAATAGCCTCCAGCTTCGAATACAGGACACAACCTAGACCTTTGCATAACTAAAAAATAAAGCCATTCTTGTTAGCTCAGTTACTGTTTTTGTACATTCTAAACAAAGACAGAAAACAACAGAATGGGGACAGGTTATTTATAATGACACCTTTCTTGGATAATTACCACCTAGCAGCTCATTTGAGGGGCAATGAGTGACTATTATTCTTTTGTTCTAAAGTTAACAATTGGGACACTCATCAAGCATAGCTGCAAATAGACTAAGCAGTAAACCAGCTGGGAATATTAAGATTAGACCAAGGTAAGTATTACCCAAGAAGAAAGAAATCATCTGGTAACAAACTCCTTCAAATTCTAAAAGCTAGATGTTCTGCTGCGGGTAACTAATAAACCATATCAATGTTTATTCTTTCAGGCCATAGCTAAGATAGTCTATGAGGCACTAGCTGTAGCAAAGGAAAGGAAAGAGTTCTAACAAATATTAAAAAAGACAAAGACTGGTCTCACAGAATATTCATCTTTGTGTATCCTTAAATGCCCTTCATTAATAGTCTCTGTAGTTAATTTATTTTCATCAAACTAATCCAAGTACATGATCTCAAAGTCAGAGTATTAAAAGGTTTATGAAAAAGAGCAGTTCCCGACCAACACACACACACAAGCAATAACCCTCAATTTGGTTTTTTGTGTGTGTTGGAGTCTCACTCTGTCGCCCAGACTGGAGTGCAGTGGCTGCTCCCGGCCACTGGAGCCTCGACCTGCTGGGCTCCAGCGATCCTTCCGCCTCAGCCTTCCAAGTAGCCGGAACTACAGGCACACGCTACCATGTCCGGCTAATTTTTGATTTATTGTAGAGATGAGGTCTCGCCAAGTTGCCCAGGTGGGTCTCAAACCCCCAGGCTCAGGCAATCCACTCACCTCAGCCTCCCAAAGGCGCGGGATTACAGGCTGAGCCACAGAGCCCGGCCCTGAATTTGGTTTTTAAATGTTTGTATTTATTTACAGTATTTCTAAATAATATGCTTCTACTGCCGTTGCTTAGTTTATTCCAGCTGTTACACCCCAGCCAGTTTCCCCATGCCCTATTCCTAGGAATATCACACATTTGGTTTTTTTTTTGAGTTGGAGTCTCACTCTGTCACTCAGACTGGAGTGCAGTGGCTGCTCCCAGCCACTGCAGCCTCGACCTGCTGGACTCCTGCAATCCTTCCGCTCAGCCTTCCAAGTAGCTGGAACTACAGGCATGCGCCATCATCCCCGGCTAATTTTTGATTTATTGTAGAGATGAGGTTTCGTTAGGTTGCCCAGGCGGGTCTCGAACCCGCAGACTCAGGAAATCAACTCACATCAGCCTCCCAAGGCGCGGGATTACAGGCTGAGCCACCGAGCCCGGCTGGCCGTTGTTTTTATTTTATTTTATTTTATTTTATTTATTTATTTTTTGAGTTTGAGTCTCACTCTGTCGCCCAGACTGGAGTGCAGTGGCCGCTTCCGGCCACCACAGCCTCGCCTGCTGGGCTCCAGTGATCCTTCCGCCTCAGCCTTCCAAGTAGCTGGAACACCAGGCACGCGCTACCATGCCCAACTAATTTTTTTATTTATTGTAGAGATGAGGTCTCGCCAAGTTGCCCAGGCGGGTCTCGAACCCATGGGCTCAGGCAATCCACTCACCTCAGCCTCCCAAAGGCGCGGGATTACAGGCTGAGCCACCGAGCCCGGCTGGCCGTTGTTTTTATTTTATTTTATTTTATTTTATTTATTTATTTTTTGAGTTTGAGTCTCACTCTGTCGCCCAGACTGGAGTGCAGTGGCCGCTTCCGGCCACCACAGCCTCGCCTGCTGGGCTCCAGTGATCCTTCCGCCTCAGCCTTCCAAGTAGCTGGAACACCAGGCACGCGCTACCATGCCCAACTAATTTTTTTATTTATTGTAGAGATGAGGTCTCGCCAAGTTGCCCAGGCGGGTCTCGAACCCATGGGCTCAGGCAATCCACTCACCTCAGCCTCCCAAAGGCGCGGGATTACAGGCTGAGCCACCGAGCCCGGCTGGCCGTTGTTTTTATTTTATTTTATTTTATTTTATTTATTTATTTTTTGAGTTTGAGTCTCACTCTGTCGCCCAGACTGGAGTGCAGTGGCCGCTTCCGGCCACCACAGCCTCGCCTGCTGGGCTCCAGTGATCCTTCCGCCTCAGCCTTCCAAGTAGCTGGAACACCAGGCACGCGCTACCATGCCCAACTAATTTTTTTATTTATTGTAGAGATGAGGTCTCGCCAAGTTGCCCAGGCGGGTCTCGAACCCATGGGCTCAGGCAATCCACTCACCTCAGCCTCCCAAAGGCGCGGGATTACAGGCTGAGCCACCGAGCCCGGCTGGCCGTTGTTTTTATTTTATTTTATTTTATTTTATTTATTTATTTTTTGAGTTTGAGTCTCACTCTGTCGCCCAGACTGGAGTGCAGTGGCCGCTTCCGGCCACCACAGCCTCGCCTGCTGGGCTCCAGTGATCCTTCCGCCTCAGCCTTCCAAGTAGCTGGAACACCAGGCACGCGCTACCATGCCCAACTAATTTTTTTATTTATTGTAGAGATGAGGTCTCGCCAAGTTGCCCAGGCGGGTCTCGAACCCATGGGCTCAGGCAATCCACTCACCTCAGCCTCCCAAAGCGCAGGATTACAGGCTGAGCCACCGAGCCCGCCTTTTTACTTTTTAAATGAATGCTCCAAAATCTCTGCAACGTTATCAGTATTTTCCTTAGTCTATTTATTTTAACTGTTCTCTGTGTTGAGACTATAGGAAGCTTTAGAATAATTGAACAGGTTTGAAAAATAAAGAGTTTTATTTTATTTTAAGAGACAGGGTCTCACTCTTGCTCCTCCATACTGGAGTGTAGTGGCGAGATCCTTGCTGCCTTGAACTACTACTCTAAATTGCTCCTCCCACCTTAGCCTCCCGAGTAGCTGGGACTACATGCCTTTTTATTTTTAGAGACAGGGTCTCACTAAGTTGCCCGGGTGGTCTCGAACACCTGGCCTCAAGCGACACCCCACCTCAGCTTTCCAAAGTGCTGGGATTAAAGACATGAGCTACCATGCCAAGCCAGGAGTTTTATTTTTAAAAAGCAAAAGTCACACAAATCCAAAGCCCTGTCACTATCAAGGTATTATGTAGTCAAATAGGTTATATAAACTTCTATATAATTTAGGATTTAAGACAACTGCATTGTTACTGAACAGCAGTAGCATAAAAACCAAAACAGTTCTCAACACCTGCTTTCCTGCTGCTAGTCAACACATCTGCCAGTTTCTGAGAGAAAGCATAAAAAGACTAATGTTCTTGAAAATTCTGTTTCAGGTAATTATTGCTTTGTGAGATACAGTTTGATAGAAAATTAAATCGCCGAGGCAAGTGGATTGCCTGAGCCCGCAGGTTCGAGACTCACGCAGGCAACTTGGCAAGACCTCATCTCCACAATAAATCAAAAATTAGCCGGTCGTGGTAGCATGCCAGTAGTTCCGACTACTTGGAAGGCTGAGGTGGAAGAATTGCAGGAGCCCAGTAGATCAAGGCTGTGGTGGCCGGGAGCATGCCAATGCACTCCAATCTAGGCAACAGAGTGAGACTATACAACCCCCCCCCAAAAAAAGAAAATTAAATCAACACTTCCATGGCTGTGCCAAATAAAAATTAGCATCTCAAAGAAAACTTGAAGAAGTCAGCTTATTAGGATATTCACTTAATACAGCATATGTGCTAAAGGAACTAAAAAGGGTGTGTTTCAGTGAAGACAGAAAAAAATTTGGTGGGGGACAGTAGCTCACACCTGTCATCCCAGTACTTTGGGAGACTGAGATGGGAAAATTGCTTGAGGCCTGGAGTTCAAGACCAGCCTAAGCAACATAGGGAGATTCCGTCTTTACAAAAAAATATAACCCTCTGCAATTGGATG